ATTGACCTGTTGATCGCGATCGACGGGTTGGTGCCCCCTGCTGTGAGCTCTGGGGGCAGCCCTACCCAGTCAGAAGCTCAGGGCTCAGTGCAGAGATGACTGGGTGGGGCTGATTAATCACCTGGGAAGCTGGGCTGCTTCTCCCCCCCCCCCCCCTTTACAGGGAACACTTTTAAACTTTCCGGAGACCCCCTACAGTATTGTCACAGACTACCAGGGGCTGTGGACCACAGGTTGGGAACCACTGCCCTAAGTAAATAATGGAGGTCCTACACTGAGCCCCCACCATGGCCACATCCTTCAGAAGCTTAGTTCTCTCTGGGTTTGTGGGGTGCCTATGCCCAAAGTCAGACTGTCTAGGGCCTTTCCCCTCTAGGAGGCACTGCTCCCACCTGACTCCAGGGCAGAGGTTGTCTGGCTCGGGAGCCCAGGGAATGGGGCAGAGGACCTGTCCCATCCATGGGACACTGATTTCCATCTGGTCCCAGGGCAAAGAATGGCAGGTTCTGGGAGGCAAGGAATGGGACACGGGACCTCTCCTCTCAGAGGGCGGCAGTGCTGTCTGTAAAAAGAGATGGGGTAAGTCTAGCAGAGTTGGGGGTGTATGGTTAGCTTGTGCCAGTGCCAGTGTCAGGCAGCTCTGGGGTCTCAGCATCTGCCCAGGACCCTGCTATACCCATCTTCTCTCTGGTCTGCAGGTTGTAATAGACAAACACCCCGTCCGCTTTTTTGTACATAAGAGGCCGCACGTGGATTTCTTCCTAGAAGTGGTAAGTAGACAGCCCTGGTGTCTTGTTTTTTTCAGGGGTGGAGTTGTGTGTGCAAACCCACCTGAACCAGATCCCAAACCCCAGAACTTGCAGAGGTACTCCCCCTTCTCCTCCTACCCGCTCAGCTATTATCCAGATCCTAGTGAAATTTGGCTGACCTGACAATCCCCTGCAGATCCCCAGTTGGGTTCCTAAGTTTGCTGCCGACTCCTTCTATGGAATCTCGGTCGGTCACGTCCTTGGATCAGCTACTGCTAGTTGTTATGAGCAAACCTGTTCCAGTTGTCTGGCTAGTGCATCTTACACTCAGGGCCCAGCCATATAGAGTTGGGAAGGTATCTCCCTCCCTGCTCACCTCAGCAGAGACCTTCGGGATGGTCTGCCTTCCCCTACCGCATGTGGTGATATGTCCCAGACTGGACACATCTTGACTAGTTCATTCCCTTCCCTTGCAGGGTTACTGGGGTCACCTTGATCCCTCCTGTTTCCTGCAGCTTCTGTCCCGTGAGGGCTGAAACGCTTTGGTCTATCTCTAGGCATGATACAAGGGGGTCTGGGAAAACTCAACAACCTGTGATCTAGCCTAGCCTGAGGAGTGAACCCAGGAATCCTGGCTTCTAACCCCTCCCTCCCACTCCACCACTATAACTCACCAGCTCCCAGAGCCAGGAGAGAACCTTAGTTCCCAGCCCCCCTGCTCCCCTCCTAGAGTCCAAGAGAGAACCCAGGAATCCTGGCTCTCTGCCAGCTTTTGGTTCTATGAATAGCAGAAGAGAGTTTTCTCTGAACTTCTGCTTGGCATCCAGCGTTGGTTAAAAAGGCAACCATGACATTAGGGACCATTAGCACTTGTGTGGAGACTCATGGAGGACATTTATTTACTCATAACAAAAGAACTTAAGAGCACCAAATAGGTAACAGATTTATAACACAGACAAGGAAGCATTTATTCGCACAATGTAGAGTCAACCTATGGAACTCCTTGCCAGAGGATGTCTCCCACCTGGGCAGTCTGCTCCTCCTCCAGCTGGGTTCCCTCCCGGTTAACCCTGTGAAGTCTTGGTTTGCTCAACCAGTCCTGGAACCTAGGGCATTGGGCCCACTTGTGGCCTCTTTACTCACAGTAATGACAGGTCAGGTCCTGTTGGTTCCATTGCGTAGGTTGGTCTGCCCTGGTATAGTCTGTTCTAGGGATGTAATAATTTAGTTGATTAACTGATAAGCAAAATCTTATAGGTTAATGCTATAGACTACATGCATTTCCCCCCAGAACTACATTTTTTAGCAGGCAGGCCAGCAGCATGGCTCAGTGCCAGCCTGAGCTGGGTCTGGGACCTACCCCCGCTGTGGCTCTGCATTTAAAGTGTATTAGGAGCAGCCTGGCTTGTGCTGGATTTGGGAGCTCAGAGCCTGCCCCCGGACAGGGGCTGCTGCTACCAGTGCAGCATGGCAGGCAGCTGGTCCATGAGGGTAACTGGTTTTTAAACTGTCTCCCCTCATGGATCAGCTCCCACCTGACACCCCGTGCTGCTGCTTCTGGTAGAGAGTCAGCAATGCGGAGTGGCAGGGGGCTCCCTGGAAGAGGGGCTGGAGTGCACTGGCTGCCCCCAGGGACTCCAGAATAGCCAACTGACCAATAAGAATTCATGAGGTTAATCGACTTCAGTTAACCGACATTTAACATCCCTAGTCTGTTCCCTTTGGGAGGAGTTTGCCTGAGTCCCCCTTCTGGGGTCCCCGAATGACTCCCCTTCTGCATGGTTATGAGCCCGGAGTGGCTGTCTGTAAACTCCTCAGCCAGCCTCCCTGTACTGGGCAGGTCTTTCGGATTCTTGTCCACCAGCCACAGTCACAGGTTGGGGGGCAGCATTCATACAGCTGCTCCAGCACCATCAGTTCACCCAGGTCTTCCTTGGTCTGGGCCGCAGCCCCGTCTGCCCATTTGCAGGTGTATCGCCCCATGCAGAGGGCCAGCTCCAGGTAGGTCTCCCCGGGGACTTCTGAGAGCTCCAGAATCTTTTCCTGTTTGCCTTGGGGGGTCAGCCCACACCTGTGCAACAGCTCAGAGTGCCTTGCCTCTACCCCGTCCATCTGGCTGAGTGTCCTTTTGGGCTGGGATCCCGTAAGGGGGTGAGCTGCCAGAGCTGGGTTTGCCCGGTGCAGATCGCAGGCGCTCTCTCAGGCAGTGAGGAAGGTGTCTGTCTCCTCCCCTTCCCCTGAAATTGGGACAGCATGTTCAGATCAAAGTTCCATGCAGTCCTGAGTCCTCTGGGCTCCTCCTCACTCACTGCAGCAGCGATGTTTCTGCCTCAGAATGATCATGGTCAGCTCGTGCTGCCGCTGTCTCTCCTGACCCTCCAGTTCTTTTAGCCATAGTTTATAGTTGGATTTCCAGCTGAGACAGCTTCACTAAGGGGGAATCCGAACTGCTGCTGGTCGAGTGGGTGCTAGTGGCCCCTGGGTTCGCCTGGTTGCCTTCAGCCACTTCAGACCTCACCTGGTTAAGGACGGGGTGTGACGTGCCCTCAGGGGCTGTCTGGTGGTGCCCAGTTGGGACAGGAACCAGCTCCGTGGAACGATCATTCTCTTCCAACTGACAGTTAGCTGGGCTTTGGTCAGTTGGTTAGTTTGCAGCCTTCTCTCCTTGCATAGCTCAACAACGTTCTCCTTAACGAGACAGTTCTAGTCCCTCTCCCTGCTGTTCCCCAGGGACACTGCTTGCAGTGCCCCACAGTTCCCCAGGAAGAACCCCTTCAGTGTGCCAGTCTCCAGAACTCACATCTCCTCCTATGAGTTAGGCTGTAGGCTCTTCTGACTTCTGGGACCAATTCCCATGGTTCCCAGGAGGAGCCCCTTCTTGAGTGTGACACCCCCTTCTTGGGAACCACACTCTCCGGTTAGGCTTCTCTGCTTCTTGGACCTGCACCTTGCTCACCTTCAGCACAGCTGGCTCTTACTAGTTCTCCTTCTTCCTACTGTGCCCTTGTCACTTACTGCTGGATGCTCCATCCACAGGTGTAGTGCATCCCATCTCTGCCACCAATGTCACCGAGGTGTGGGGGAGTCACCAGGCCCTGCACCCTCATCAGTACTGAAAGGAGACTCAGCCAGAAAGTAAAACAGGGTTTATTAGTTGACTGGGACACAGCGTAGAACACACTTGTGAGCACAAACTCAAAAGCAATCCATCTTGGGGAGAGAGAAGTCTAGAGCCAGCATCCTGCACCCCAAGCCAACAGAGACTAACTAACTGTCACTGCCACCCCCCACGGCAGCCTAGCCCCAACCCCCTCATCTGCCCTTTGATCTCCTTTCTGGGCAAAGCCTCCCCCCTCCCCCCCCGCGCCCTCAGTTCAAGTTATGGCTAGAGTAGCCTCCCTCAGTGAGTCACACCCAAAATTCCCACCATTGTCTTTTGGTGCTGTGCCCTGGGAAACTGAGGCACCCATGTAGTTACTATAGGACAGTAGAACTCCCATACAACATGACAAATATAATCCCCACTTTGTCAGAGTTGTGAAGGCCAAAAAAAGAGCTAGATAAATTCAGGGAGGATAGGTCCATTCATGGCTGTTAGGACAGGCAGGGATGGTGTCCCTAGCCACTGTTCGTCAGAAGCTGGGAATGGGTGACAGAGAAGTTCTGCTGTAGCTAATAGTTTTGTAACAGCTGTGACCAGTCCTTTTTTAATTTGGAGGAGTGAGGCTGGGATTTCCCAGACTCAGTGGCTACATCTAGACTGGCATGATTTTCCGCAAATGCTTTTAACGGAAAAGTTTTTCCGTTAAAAGCATTTGCGGAAAAGAGCGTCTAGACTGGCGCAGATGCTTTTCTGCAAAAGCACTTTTTGCGCAAGAAAGCCCCGATTGCCATTTTCGCGATTGGGGCTTTTTTGCGCAAAACAATACCGCGTTGTCTACACTGGCCCTCTTGTGCAAAAGCATTTGGCAAGAGGGCTTTTGCCCAAACGGGAGCAGCATAGCATTTCCGCAAGAACACTGACAATCTTACATGAGATCCTCAGTGTTCTTGCAGAAATTCAAGCGGCCAGTGTAGACAGCTGGCAAGTTTTTCCGCAAAAGCAACTGCTTTTGCGGAAAATCTTGCCAGTCTAGACACAGCCAGTGTCTTTCAGTAATGGGGACACAGCAAGGATCCCTACACAATTTTTGCACATTTTAACAAGACAGTAATAGCAGATGATGGCTTTTCCAATGATACCTCATGAAGCAGACCAGCAGGATGTTATGCATGCAGATAAATGGGGCCTTCCCCAAAGAAATCAGTCTAGGCCAACTGTGTGTGTGGAAACTGAGGCACAGAGTGGTAGGGACTTACCCAAGCAAGCCGATAAGGCCAAGGGATGGAACACAGGAGTTCTGTCTGCCAGCCCCCTTGTTCTAACCTAGTCACCCCTGCACGTCCCCAGATTGACCTCTGTAACAATGCATGCACGCCCACAGGCAGTGCCGTTCTCTCAGGTGGCCATGGGTGTCACTGGCTGGGAGCTCTTGTCCCAGGAGGAGGCTGAGGTCTCTATCCTCTCTCTGCTTTACCCTCTATCCAGGTGAGCCAATGGTACGAGCTGGTGGTGTTTACAGCCAGCATGGAGATCTATGGCTCTGCCGTGGCCGACAAGTTGGACAATAACCGGAGTATCCTAGGGAGGAGGTATTACCGGCAGGTGAGTGAGGGGCAGGGTGTAGGAAGCAGGATTTCAAAAGGTAGCAGAGTAGAAGGAAAGGGGAAGGAAAGGTGGGGCTTGGAGCAGGGGGTAGGGCTTTGAAGACCAGAATGGGGTAAGTTTGGGGCGGAGCTTAGAGGGAGCTAGGAGCATTACTTTAGAGAGCAGAGTTGAGGAGTTCAGGGGAAGGGCTATGGGGAGCTGGGGGCAAGGCAATGGAGAGCAGAGAAGGGGGAGCAGGATGGTGGCTTGCCGCCTCCTGGCAAAAATGCTGGGGGCTAACTGGACAGTGGGCTGCTGGGCTAAGGGAGGCTGGCCAGCTGGCTGGGAGGAGGCAGGAAGAGGCAGCTGGGGCCCAGGTGGGAGGAATGCAGGCTGGGGCACTGGTGGGGGGGCTGCAGGGGATCCCAGCTGCTCACCCCTCCCCTGTGCTTCCCTCCAGCACTGCACTTTGGAGCTGGGAAGCTACATTAAGGACCTCTCAGTCGTACATAGCGACCTGTCCAGCATTGTCATCCTGGACAACTCACCAGGCGCCTACAGAAGTCATCCAGGTAGGAGTCAGCTCCTGCTGTAACTGCTAGTCCCCAGCCCCTCCTGGGGCTGAGACAGAACCCAGAGCTCCTAGCTCCCGGACTCCCCCGCCAGGCTGGGGGAGAACCCAGAAGTCATGGCCCACAATCCCCCAGCTCCAACCTATTGGACCCCACCCACTCCCTTCTGAGAGCCAGTCATTTTGGGGTGCGGTCCTCTTGTTTGGGAGAGGGTCTCCCCTTTCCACTCCGATCCCATGGACTCATATCCTGACTGAAGGGAAGTGGCTCCCCTCATACAGGTGCGAAGAAGCTAATGAGCCATGGAGACTTGCCCCTGCACCTGGAGAGGGGGTTGTGCTTGGGCACAGGGAACTGCATGTAAGTTTGTGGTACTGGTCATGGGGCAGAGTGGGGGGGGGGCAAACCTATATCTCCCTTCCCCTAGCTCGACTGCAGTGCACTGCCGTTTTAAGAGGTGTCTGTCCGTCCATTCCTACTGGTGTCTCACCAGCATCGGTCCCTCTCTCTTAGACAATGCCATCCCCATCAAGTCATGGTTCAGTGACCCAAGCGACACCGCGCTGCTCAACCTGCTGCCCATGCTGGACGCCTTGAGGTACTTGTTGTCAGAGGCTGGGAGCCAGGACTCCTGGGTTCTCTGCCTGGTTCTGGCGGGGGGGAGTGGTGGCTGGTGGGTTAGAGTAGGGACATGGCCAGACCAAGCCTTTGTGCAAACTGGATTAGGATGGGCAGTGCACATGTGCTGGATGTCATGCAATGGAGTTAATGTGGGAATGGCCAGAGTGGGTCAGAGCAGGGGCCTGTCTCGCTCTGGGGCCTGTCTTCTGAGGGTAGCTGCTGGAGAGGGAATGAATTATGAAGATACCCTAGCAAGGAGTTCCATAGGTAAACTAGGCAGCGATCCAATCCAGGGTATCCCTTGAAACTTATGTAGTCCTTGTGCCCTCTGCCAATACCTTAAGAGTTCCATAGGTCAAAGGGAGTAGTTGGTTAGAACAGGAAGGCTGGGATTCAGGACTCCTGGGTTCTATTCTAACATTTCCTTTTCCTCTCATCTGAAGATACCCTAGCAAGGAGTTCCATAGGTAAACTAGGCAGCGATCCAATCCAGGGTATCCCTTGAAACTTATGTAGTCCTTGTGCCCTCTGCCAATACCTTAAGAGTTCCATAGGTCAAAGGGAGTAGTTGGTTAGAACAGGAAGGCTGGGATTCAGGACTCCTGGGTTCTATTCTAACATTTCCTTTTCCTCTCATCCTCCCACCCCAGATTCACAGCTGATGTGCGATCGGTGCTAAGCCGGAACCTCCATCAGCACCGCCTCTGGTGATGTCAACACCTCCTTTCTTCCGGCGTTGGCCCGTGACCGCCGCCTTATCCCACCGCTGCCACCGCCACTCCCCATTCTCCTGCAATGTGGACTCCGCAACTGTTGGTGAACTCTGGAGAGCAGAGTGGAGGGCCAGGGGATGTTAATGCAACACCCCTCCATTTCCCCACCAACAAACAACCCCCTTTTCCCCCCAGAAATGGGCGGGGACTGACTTGGAGGGGGATGGAGCGTATCTGGCAGCTGGACAAAGAAAGGGGGTGTGAAATTTCTGGAGCTGGATGGACATGTCTGATCAGGCTGGGTCTGGTTTTACAAGACCCTTTCGGCCTTGTACAAAGACCACCTTCTTTCTTTTAGTTTATTTTTTTCGTTCTGTTCTTCCCTCTCTGTGTCCTGGGCTGAACAGGAGCCTGCCTTTCACTGGCTCCCTTTTGAGTTTAGCAACCTGAAGCCATCTGATTGTTTTGGTCCACTCCCTAGGGGTGGGTCTTTGCTCTGGGATCTGTTCCCCAGGGGTGACCTTCTCTGTTTTTCTCAGACTCTGGGGGAAATGAAAACCCAGGAGACAAATTATAGCCGCTAAGCAAGGCCAGAAATGGAGCCGTGTTCAGAGAGTTCTTACAGGGGGGAGGGCAGTTACACTTGTTCAACAGTTGGACTTTAGTGATGGAAGTCCTGGGTCCTGCCCCAGCTTTGGGTGGGGAGTGGGATCCAGTGTTTGGGGGTGGGGTGTTAGAACCCATGCATTCTGACTTCCTTCCCCAGCTCTTGGAGGAGAATGGGGGCTGGTGAGTTAGAGCAGGAGGTCTGGGGGCCAGGACTCCTTTTGTCTTCCTGGCTCTTTGAAGGGAGTGGGAAATAGCAGTTAGAGCAAGGGGAAACGAGGCTGGGATCCAGGAGTTCTCTTCCCGTTTCTAGCGGACTGTGGTGGAAGAATTTGGGGTGAGAGGAAGCTGCAGCCAAAGGGGTGAGGATGGCTAGATTCAGTGCCCATTTTTGCTCACAAGTGGCAGGGCTTGGATCTGTACCTCAGTTTCCCTCACTGATCTGTCAGGGCTTGCAGGGCCTCTGGGCCTGCTACAGTTTGGTGACGATAGGAAGCAGGAGAGCCCTGTGAGAGGGCCATCTGGGTGCTGGATGGGGTGTGTGGAGATGGGTGAAGTGTTTGAGGAGCAGCTGAGATCACTGTAAGCCCCACCTGTGGCAGGATAGAACCTTTACAGGTCCCAATTCTACATGGGATGGAACCTCTGTACTCCTCTCCCTATGTTGTGGGTCTGAAGAAATGCCCCTTCTCATCCAGAGGTGGGCATAGATGCCTCCTGTAGTCAGCAAGCAGAAGAGGCTGACACTGTGCTGCAGGGTGGGGACTTAGCAGATGATGCTTTTCCTTGGCAGGTAGGACTGACCCCAGAGCGTAGTAGGGGGGGTAAGGATGTTAAGTATCGAGTAAATGACTATAATTTGTATCAACTACTTGATTAGTTGATAGGGGGTTGCTGTGGCTCTGCAGTTTAAATGTAGTAGGAGCCAGGTATGCAGGCAGCTTGGCTCCTACTACATTTAAACTGCAGAGATACAGTGGGAGCGGGTCTGGGACCTGTGCTGTGCCTCTGCCTTTTAAATGTTGGAAGAGCCAGGTGGCTCTTCCTACATTTAAAAGGCAGAGCTGCAGTGCTGGTGCCTCTGCCTCCCCCATTCCCTCTCTTCTTCCCCCCTGCCCCCCAAGCCCTGGATCTGCCGGGAATGGGTTTTTAAGCTGGCTCCTCCCCCCCTACACCCATTGCTTTGCTGCCTCTGATATGGAGGTAGCAAGGGGGAGGAATGTGAGTAGTGAATTCTGACTATCCAATAAACCTAGGCCAGTGTTGATTTTAAAGTGTGCTGCAGCCCAGCATCACAGATGATCTCTCCCCCCCCCACACACACACACACACAGGTGCTCCCTGCATGGACCTAACGAATCACGTGTACAGCTGCACAGCTTAGATTCAGAAAAGCAGATTTTGACTCCCTCAGAACTGATGGGCAGATCCCCTGGGATGTAACATGAAGGGGACAGGAGTCCAGGAGAGCTGGCAGGATTTTACAGAGCCCTTACTGAAGGCACAGAATGAAACCATCCCGACGCGCAGCAAGAGAGGCAAACGTGGGAGGAGACCGGACTGGCTCACCGGGGAAATCCTGGGTGAACTTAAGCACAAAAAGGAAGCTCACAGAGTGGGAACTTGGACAGGTGACCAGGGAGGGGTTTAAATGTCTAGCTGGAGAACGCCGGGGGATTGTCAGGAAGGCGAAAGCACAAATGGAATTGCGACTGGCTAAGGAGGTGAACGGTAACAAGAAAGGTTTCTACAGGCATGTTAACAGCACGTGGCTATGGGGGAGGCCCCGCCCCCGGGCATGCGGCTGGGGGGGCTGCCCCCAGGCGGGCAAGTGTCCCCGCCCCCTGGCGCCCAGCGGGTGAACGGCCACACCCCCTGGCGCCCAACAACCTGAAAAGGTTGGGGACCACTGGCTTAGAGAACACTGGCCTTGGCTTATGAGAGAGTTGACTATTCTTTTACATGCCTAGTAGGGGGTGGCATGGAGGGATGCTGTGGGGCAGGGCATATCCCCTTTTTTAGTTGAAGTATAAAATGGCAAGAGTAAAAAGGCCATGTAACACTCATATCTGCCAGCAAAGGGGGAACCTGTTTTGCTTTCAGGTATTTCCTGCAGTCCCCTGCCACAGCAGGCTGCATTATGGGACTGTCTCTTCTTTGCTGTGTGGGCAGCTGTGTACTATTTGTTGATGTTAACTATAGTGAGCTGTGTAACTACAGCTTGGTGTGGAGAAAGGTGTCCCTGTGTAACCAGTTGCCCTGCTGGGTGAGGGGTCCCTGTATAACCAGCCACCCCACCCTGGAACTGCCCATCTCTCTGTGCCATGTGAGGGGTCCCTATATAACTGCAGCCACACCCCAGAGGTGGTCATGTAGTGCTGGGTGAGAGGCCCTTGTGTGACTGGCCACCCTACTGCAGAAGTGGCTGCATCTGTGTCAGTTTCAAGCCAAGCCAGCCCTGCTGCAGGGGCATCCTGCTGGTGACTTACCTCAGTGCAGTCTGAAGGTAGCTGGGTTTGTCCTGGGGCTGTGGGACACCAATAAAGGGAATCTGGCCTGTGGGGGAGGGGCTGGTGCTTTGGCCCCTTGGTCACTGTAGTAAGCCCTGGGGAAGGAGGGGCTCCCAGGAGAGCCTCTCCTCTCAAGTTGGCAGCATTTTCCTTTCCTCCCTGCCAACTCCATGCATTGGCCATGAGCAGCAGGGCTCTGAATGGTTAACTGGAGGGGGACAGCAGCTGTGACGCCTCCATTTAAGAAGTTCACGGATTAAACAAAATTTTAGATCCCTACGAAGCTGCCCCCATTGGCTGCAGGGGCCCATCCCCAGGTGCCAGACTTAAGGGGAGCAGGATACTCCGCTCTGGCCACTGCACCCTTCCCCCTGCCAGGGCATCCTGGCTCCCAGCCCTTCCCCCAATGGTTTCACCCGCTTCCCCGAGCGCTAACCCTGTGGTATGGTCCACAATCTCTGGCATCTCCCCCTTTATTGCTATGCTCCCTCCTGATTGGTCACGGCCACTCTGCGTCGCGTTTGTCCGCCATTGGTCTTGGTCTCTGTCTCTCTGGGCCACGCCTTTGTCACGTGGCAGTGTCGCCTATCAACCCCTGCAAACCAGGGGTTTCCCGTGATCACGTGGCAATGCCCTCTGCGTTGTACGTCACGTGAAACTGCCCCCGCCCCCCCCCCATCCTTCTGCCATCCTTCCCTGCGGGGCCCCCTACGCGAGGCCTGACTCTCTCCCCTCCCCCCCGTGGCCACACCCTCCTCGGGGCGCTGCCTCCCCGCACTATTTTGTTTTGGTGTCGCACTGCCACGCAGGTGGCGTAGCTCTGTGAATCCTGGGTTTGCGTAGCTGCCCGGGGAGGAGTGCGTTTCCGAAATGGGTCGATTGAGAAGGCCTCTTATTGGCATGGGGGAGTTACGTAAACCTCGCAGCGTCGCTCCCTGCCGAGGAAGTGATACGCCACGAGCGTGGGAGTACGCAAGTGGAGGAGTTCATGATACGCAAACAGTATAAAGCGGGAAGCCGTAGCTTCAGCAGTTAACGTACGCAGCTGCAGCGGGAAGCAGCGAGGTGATTCCACCGTTACGCTATTTGCTTAGTGTTTCTTGGCGGGTGTAGCTGGAGTCGGCTGCGTTAGTGGCGAAGCATAATAGACGCTTGTTTCGTGGCGCTGAAGAGGCCACACGAGTTACGTGCTCCAGCGGAGCAACTAATCAGCGGGGCGCAGAGCGAAGGCCATTAGCCAATAGAGCACGGGTCGGTTACCTCAGAGGCGCAGGGAGCTGACGTAGGGCGGGCGGTGGTTACGCTAGTTGCGCGAGCAAATGGCACAGGGTTGGTTACACAAGGCAGGGGCACTTACGCAGGCGGCGTACGGAGGGTGATGATACACTTTTGATAAGTAGGACTGCCCTGTTGGCACAGGGAGTTACGCTGCTTGCGTTCGGAGCCGATGTAGCATGGGAAATGGTTACGCAGGCAGAGCAGGGCGGACGGAGGATTCGCTGGTGTCGCAGGGAGTTAACCTAGCTCGTCGCTGTTTACGCTACTGGCGCCTGCTCAGTGCGCAGAGGTTATGCGGGTGGCGTAGTAAGAGGACGTAGGACGGTCGCTGGTTACGCAGCCCGCGCAGGGCGGGCGGGGGTTACGCTGGTGACGCAGCCGGCCCGCCATGAAGTTCCTGTACAAGGAGGAGCAGCCCTTCGAGCGCCGCCGCTGCGAGGGCGAGAAAATCCGCAAGAAATACCCGGACCGCGTCCCGGTGAGACACCTGAGGCCTCCCCAACCCCGCCGGGAAGACCCTGGCCCCCACCGGCCGCGCCCGGCCAAGCTCTGCCCCTCCCTGGCGTGTGAAGCTTGGTCCGGCCGGACCCACCGTGCGCGGGGGGGGGTACCTCGCTCCCCTCTTACTGGGTGAGGGGTACCCCAGCTGCTACCATCCACAGACACTGGGGGGCCCTTTAGCCCCCCGCCTCTTCCCACAGCCCAGCCTTGACATGGCTCTTGAGCTGGTTCCTCGCTGGACCCCAATGGGTGGCTGACCAGGCTCCATCCCAGTTCTCCTTTGGGGAGCTATACGCCCCCTGAGGTGTGCTCCGAGCCCCCCAAATGCTGGGGGGGCCGGCTGACCCATGGCATTTCCTCCCCCCTCTTTCCCCAGGTGATTGTGGAGAAAGCCCCCAAAGCCCGAATAGGAGACCTGGATAAGAAGAAATACCTGGTGCCGTCGGACCTCACCGGTGAGTGCTGTCCCCAGGGTGTGCCATGCTGAGGATGGGGGCAGCAGCCGCCGTGGGCTGCATGTGCAGTGCAGGGGAAGGTGTTGGAGGAGTTATCTGTGGGAGCTGTTGGGGGGAGGCAATATGCCCTTAAAGGGGACAGGTGGGGATTTCTGGAGTGTGGGGGGAGGGGATTCTGGAAGGCCCCCTCAAGCCTAGAAGTAGGGCTAGATAAACTGGGGGGTGCCCCATACAGGGAATGCCCCGCTCTCTGTAGTCCCCCCACATAATATGGGGAGGCAGCATCTGACAACTGCAGGGTCCTGGATGGGGAAAGGGGGGGAGTGGAGCAAATGAACTGTGGATTTGCATAAAGGAGGAATTTCCCTCTCCCATCCTGACCCCCCTCTTTCTTCTCCCTCAGTCGGACAGTTCTACTTCCTCATCCGGAAGCGAATCCACTTACGGGCTGAGGATGCCTTGTTCTTCTTTGTCAACAACGTCATCCCACCCACCAGTGCCACCATGGGCCAGCTGTACCAGGTGGGGCGTGAGGGGGCGCTGTGGGACAGAGCAGTGTGGGGACTCAGCAGGGGGTGCTTTCCTTTGACAGGCAGGGTTGGCCTCAGGGTGGCGCTAGAGGCTAGTGTGGGGTAGGGGTGCAGCAAAGGGTGTTTTCCCTGGTAGTATTTGGTGCTATCCTGTTACCCCCTGTTGGCTCTCCCTGGTACTGACATCTTCCTTTCTTTCCTTTCCCAGGAACACCATGAGGAAGACTTCTTCCTGTACATCGCTTACAGTGACGAGAGCGTCTATGGCATGTGAGGCGCCATCCTCCCTGGCTACCGGGGTGCCCTCCTCCCCAATTGGACCTGCACTTTCTCTTATTGGTTGATCTCTATAAGAACCTTTTTTTTTTTTTTTTCTGACACCCCCAACTGCCTAATTACAGCCCTCCATGTAACTGCCCCTCCCCACTCTGTCTGGGTTTCCGTGGTTAATCTCCTGCTCTGATTTGTGGCCATGAAGGGTTTTTCTAACATCCCCCCTGCATTCTTCAAATTGCTGACCTCTCATCCCCATCAGGGCCTGACCTGTCACCAGGGGGTTCTGTCTGGCAAGTCTCTTAACATGGTGTGTAGAGAGGTCTGGGGCATAATAAAATGAGAAGGGAAACCCTGATTGTGGTATGGATTTTTATTTCTGTAGTGGGGTGTGAGGCGAGTGGAGGGGTTGGCCAGGGCAATCCCTTTGTGGTGGATCAAGGGGGTTTGCTGTATGATGGCTGACCACAGGGTGCTTGTAAGATGGATGGGGAGGAAGTACAGATAAAGCACATGGGGGTTCAGGACCCCTTCCTAAGGACAGCTAAGGGGGCAGGAATAGATCCCTCTGGGAAGGATCAGAGTAGTGTTTTCTATAAACTCTGCACTGGTGCCATGCAGGAGAGATTCAAATGCCACCGAAGTGGTTAGCAGACCTAGCTAAGCTAGGTTTTGTATTTTTACCTCTTGGTGTACATAAATATATTACCAGGGCTTGCCGCTGCTTGGCGAGCCCCTGCTCACCAGCCCCCCAGAAGCACACACTACGCCTACACAGACCGTGCTGCTCCTGTGCTGAACGTGCTTTGTGGCTCCACCGGACTAAAATCTACTCACCACAGGTGAGTAGATTGCCTAATTTGTCAAGCCCTGTACATTACATACATGGATGGAAAAGATTAGACCAGGGCTGGGGAGTGTTTTTTGGGTCAGAGGCTACTGACCCACAGAAAAACTATTCAGGAGCTGCGCACAAGTGAGAAGAGGGGACAAAAAAAAAAAAACCCCTCACTGTGACCCCTGACTGAGCATTAGGAAGACATTGCCCTTGCACACCATAGCCTGGGGAGGGGGGCCAGTTTAGTAGATTTTTGTGTGCTCTAGACCTGAGGGAGGCAGCAGTGGGACGGGAGCACCAGACCAGCCTGGGCTCTCCAGTACTGGGGGAGGGCCCTTAGCCTCAGGGTCTCAATCCAGGCACATACAGGCTACATCCGGCCCCTGGGCCTTTGGTTTCCCTTCCCAGATTAGAAGGAACATGGGGCAGAAGGTCAGGTTATGTCTCCGGGAAGTGGACATGTGAGACTAGCCTTAAGTGCCTATGCCATTGATGCCCCCTCTCTGTATAAGAATCAGGCAAGGGCAGTGCTAAGGATGTAAGCTTGCCCTTCCACAAATCATTGGTAAGCCTGGGCCCTTCCTGCAGCCAGGGTGAGAACCCAGGAGTCTTGGTTCCACTCCCCTCTCAGGTGGGGAGAGAACAAGCGTCTTGCCCCTTTCCTAGTGCTCTGGATCGGAGTTATGGTGGTTAGAGGGCCTGTAGCCAATCAGCGCTACGCCTGCTTCGTGGGCGGAGTCAGGATCAGAGACGTCAGGGCCCTGAGAACTACGTGTACCGGCACCCTTTGGGGCGAAAGTACGTCACCGCGCAAGGCGGGTAGTGCTGCCGCTCAGACTGCATCTCCCGGCGTGCCTCTCTGGGTCGGGAATGGGCGAGAGAAGGCGAGTGCGCAATCGCGGCGCGGGGGCTGACGGGAATTGGAGTTCCGATCCTGCCGCGCGGGAGCGGAGAGGAGCGCTACGGACTCCAACTCCCGTCGAGCCCTGCGACGGCGGGGTAGAAGGGGGAGCGGAGCGGAGCGGAGGGGGCGGCCGGGGGGGGCGGGGGG